TTTATCTTTATAGCTTTTGAGCAAAATGGCCTACAATTAAAATTCATTCAAACGCACCCTATAACATTGATTTCCATCACAACATTTTTTTGATGTTTTGAATTTTTCGTAAAACCTATTTAAATCGATCTCGTCATAGGATGTTTGTCCGATTTTCACTAAAACTGAATCACAAGATCTACAGACCATGCTGACCAAAAGTTATTAAATTTAATTTGATTAGACGAACCGTTTTTGTTTAACTTGCGAACAAATTTAACGTAGAGCTTGCGAAAATTGACTTAAGGTGTCATCTCTGTAACGCATTGACGTATTCACACTAATCTTGGTGTGTGTCATCACAATCATAATCTGAAGTTAGCTGCATCGTTTTGGTGCACTGCCCCCTAGTGGACCGGAGATACAAAAAAAGTTAGTTTTTTTTGCTTATAACTTCACACCAAAAGCGGCGAGAGCGTCAAAGTAGCCGGAAGTTATTCATTTTTAATGAGAGCCTGCGGCGATAAGCGGTGAGGAGCAGCGCGGCGCGTTTTTGCCGATGTGAGCGTTGAGGAGAGTTGAAATCAAGTCAATTTTATGTTAAAGAGCTATTATGCGATTCGGCGACAACCGGCGGCAAATTTATCTTTAAAAAGCGGGAATCTCACGCGACGTGACAGTACAAAACAGTACTGCTGCTTCAGGATACTTCAGACATATGGACGCATATTGGATAAATAGAGCAAAGCCACACCACACGCAACTTGATCTTCTATCATTATATGAATTTGATAAGAAGTGCGCAACATTTTCACGCTAGAAACATGTTTTATGCAGGAATGTAACTGATATGCTGCAACGCCTCCTTTAAATACGAGATCAATGTAGCCAGTTTTGACGCTCTTGGACGCTCTCGCCGATTTCGGTGTGAACCCACAGTTAGTCCAACATTCATAAAATTAGTCTCTTTACATCCGGCGGAGCATGCAGAGTCGAATGTTGTCTGATTTTCCCAGGTCGGCCATTTTGAATGATATCAAAAACTTATATATTTTATGGAAGAATTGGCAAATAGTTATGAAACTCAGATTGCGTCTTTAAGACTGTGCCCTGAAGGTGCTCAAAAAGTTTCTTTACAGCGCCACCTTTTGGTCAAACATTATAACGATATTTCTAAAACTGCTGATAACTTTTGACTAATCTTGCCTATTGTTATGAAGTTTATCTTGATACATTCCTTGTGTTGTCCTGAAAATATCGATACCAATGATGCCTTAATTACCTAAACTTCCTGTCCGCCATCTAGCTTTAGGTTAAAAACCTACTTTTTTAACTCCATTTGGCTGATTTGCACCAAATTTGACTCATCTTCAGACTGTGGTGACAAAAAGTTGTTTTCGTGTCGATAGGTGTAACATTTTCTGTTTACTGCACCAACAAATGTGATGGCAAGATGCCAAACTACATCTGAGGCTGTATCTCTGCGATAGTTAAAGATAACGACACCACATTTTAGTTCTGTCATCGTCGCCTCACATTGACCAAACCATAAAAATTTGGTGACAGTGCCACCTACAGGTCAAGACATATAAGACATTAATTAGTCATTATTAATGAAACTTACAAATTTGGTAATACATTTGGCCTGCATATGCTTATTTTGACGTAGTTGGTCTCAAATTATTCCTTGGGTCAATCCGACAACACGGATACAAATTATGCCAAACTTCCTGTCCACCATTTTGATTTTGTTCAAACCATTCTTTGGTCCCGTTGGTCCAATCTTCACCAAATTTGACTCGGATCATCTTCAGACCATGTAGACCAAAACAAAAGCTGTCAGTTCGGCGTGTTCACGCTCAGATTTTTGGTCCAGACGAAACCAGATACGACACGAGGCGACAGTAAAGTTGAGTTTTGTCAGCAATAATTGTTTAGCATTGGTTCCCTACTGAAAAAACCAGCTTAAACCAGCCTAGGCTGGTTGGCTGGTTTTAGCTGGTCGACCAGGCTGGTTTTAGCCACTTCCAGGCTGGTTTCCAGCCATTTCCAGCCTGGTCTTAGCTGGTTAGGCTGGGAGATGACCAGCTAAAACCAGCTTGACCAGCCTAGCCAGGCTGGGAGCCCAGCCAAAACCAGCTTTGTCCAGCCTAAACCAGGCTTGTCAAGCTGGATTTAGCTGGTCATTTTCCAGCCTGACCAGCTAAGACCAGGCTGGAAATGGCTGGAAACCAACCTGGAAATGGCCAAAACCCCTCTAAAACCAGCCTGGTCGACCAGCTAAAACCAGCCAACCAGCCTAGGCTGGTTTAAGTTGGATTTTTCAGCAGGGTTTGGTGTGTATCTGCCTTAAATCAACATCCCCTGCTCACAAAATGTCTGATTACTGATCACCAGCAACCGTGCACTCCCTCATCAGCCCCCTTCATAAGCGCTTCCCCAGCATTCACTCCAATCCGGTGTACAGTTCACATTTATGAACTCCCATGCGTCATTGACTCTGATCGGTATTCATCCAAAGACTCTCAGATAAGCATTCAACTCAATAACTTCTTGATCTGTGCTCTTGTTCCTCACTCACTGTCATTAAACAAACCTGGTGTGCATTTCCTCCTGCCTCCGTCATAGTCTGTGTGACTACATGTGAAACGTGATCTAATATATCAGTACATGAGTGTTTGTGTGTAGGAGTGATATCTACTCTGCAGTCAAGTAGGTAGGTAATGAAGAGGTTTAAAATAAACCCAGTGTTATTTTAGTAACACTGATGTGATGTTATGTATTAGATTTGTCTTTATTTGTATTGAATGGGCAGTTTTACACACACACACACACACATATATATATATATATATATATATATATATATAT